CCCGATTTTCTGTAGAGTAAGAATAGGAAGCAGGGTGGGGTCAGAAGATACAGCAGAAAGGTGGGTATTTGGAAAGGCTCAGTGGGATAAATTTAGAGAAATTAGTGAATCAAGGTTTCAAGAAATAGATAGAGAACAGGATATAGAAATATTTAATGAAAATGTGAGAGATGCAATTATTGGAGCTGCCAAGCAGACAATTTTAAGGAAAACCGGTACACAGAGGCGGAAGTTAGTTCCATGGTACATTCCATGGTATATATATATATATATATATATATATATATATATATATATATATATGTGTGTGTGTGTTTTATATTATACTGAATATTATTAGATGATATATATATTATATTATACTGAATTCCCTGTGAGGGTGACAAAAGATGTCCTGACTTGTTTGTCAAAGTGTTATTTACTGCTTTTTTTCCTGTTGGAATAAATGTTAAATATTTAACTACAAAGTAGCAATGCGTTTTTGGTACCTTCATTTTTTTTATGCATCAAATCATACTGTGATATTTGCTGACATTGATTGGATGCGGCACAGCCCTACCTAGAACATTTTCCACCAGCCGCCACTGGGATCATACAACCGTGAGGTGGTGATTCTAGTTTATGTTTTCTCATTGAGTACAGATCTTGATCCACTGAAGAATTTAGAATTAGAAATTGTGTCTAATAATTAATTTTAATGGCACTAAAGCCATTGGCTACCGCTTCAAAGGCCACCAAAAATATCTAATCAGTTCATTCTTGAGTCCACGTGGACTTTTGTGCCAAATTTGAAGAAATTCCATCCAGGGGTTCCTGAGGTATCTGATTCAGAAGAATGTTGAATTTTAAGGACTAAAACAGGATGAGCGGACGGAGGGGCAGACAACCCCGAAAAAATAATAACTCAGTCACGGCTGTCGCCGGTGCAGAGGCATAAAAATATTAGATCTGTGAGTTTGAAGGCTTGTTAGATTCGTTTTTCGTTTTTTACCCTAGTTTTTTTTCTGCTGAAGCCTTCCACTGTGGCAATGAATGGGAGGGCAGTGGTTTTGAATTTGTTTTTATTAAAGACCCACAACCTAGGCTAAGAGTGGGAGATAGCAGCAACAAGGACCGCAGGGGGGAATGGGGCATTCCAGATTATGAGAAAAACGGGGAAGCATTTACAGTCACTTTTAGTATAAGTATATATTTTTTTTAGGTACAAATAGAAGGAGTACATATATTTGCTTGCAATTAAGGCTAGCTTACTGTAGTTGCATGTGGGCTTCTTCCCCAATCAGTGATGAAGGGGCAATCAAGAGGATGGTGGGCCCGTAATGGTGGGCTAAACTGACAGTGCCTGCAGTTCACTGAGGTGGTTATGTCACAAAAGATGGTGGAGTCTTACCTGACTAGAGATAGACCGACATTCAACAGTATAGTACACATGGTGTGGGGAGCCAACAGGAAAAGGGTAATAGTGAGGAACCAAAAGAAGAAAAGCATACAAGAGCAGGATGCTGCCAAGATATAACTGATATATTCAAGCAGGTGGACAGTGTGAGTGCAAGTATCAAGTAGTTAAAATGGTGAAATGATTAACTTAATTAAATGCTCAAGGCTTTCTCAAATGTTCCTTTTGTATCAGTAGCTGCCCAGCGGAGCCATTAAACCATCAAATAAATTCATTAGATTAAATTAAGTTAAAAGGGCTGGGAGAAGAACTCGGCAGTAAATTTAATTAGGATTTTACCAAATGAATAAATGTCTGAGGAGACTTAGCCGAGGAGCGAGGTAGAGTTTATTTCTATGGCAGGTATCAGAAAATAAAAGGAGCTTTTAAATGCAAGGCTGTTTTTGGTGCGGGCTTCCATTGGCCAATGTAAAGCTTTCATTTGATCTGTTTGTTTGTAGTTTTATGTTGTGTTCCGCAGCCAGGAAGAAATCTGGGCCCATGTGCATATTTAACCATGTACGCTTATCTGAGGATATAATGTGACTGACTTTTTATTCTATTTCTTCACCTGGCGGAGAGAGAATAACAATCTTTATCTGTGTGCACTTACAAAGTGGATTCAACCTCCAATAGATCGATGACAGAAATTGCAAGTCACTAACTGAATGTGAGGCAATGCAATGTCAAAAAGGATTTAGGACAGCATAACTGTGATGACTATCAACTGAGGTATAATGTGCAGTGAGCTTTCAGGATCTTTCAAGTCCTGCTCGCCCTGATGGGCTTCATTCCGCAATGATAACCTGCTCGCTGTACATTATCCTGCTTGGACCACAGTTACTTACTAAAGAAATCAATAATTTGACAAAAAATATTGATTTAAAAATGATTTTATTGCTTCCGCTAAAAAAAAAAAGTAGTCCTCTGGCTGAGATCAGAACAGCGTCCATAGCAACGTCTTCTACATATGTATTCAACAAAGCCCTGTTATAACATGGAAGTAACACTTGTCAGAATCAGGTAGGTGCCAGCAACCTAGTTGCTAGAAATAAAATGTTGCCATTGTTTCTACATCCATGTGATCCGTTTAATATCAACATTTCCGGACCGAAAAAAATGTTTCATGAATACATTTCATATCAGCCTCGTATCATGTTTGCAAAAACGCACAATGCTGTATGGTTAACAATGTGAAGCGATTGGTTGGCTTTAGACAACAAAACTACTTGGTTAAAGTTAGAAAAAAAGACCATGGTTTGTGTTGAAATAATAAGGTAAATCAACCATAACAGATTAACTACCAAAAATAAACAACAACCACCCTTAGTAACTTTTCTTATTGTTTAGCAACTTTAATTAGGCAGGGCAGGCCTGTGGAGCTTTGTCTTCACATGTTGTACTAGCAGTGTCTATGGGGCTCTAGTAAGCAAACATCCACTTGACTGTAGCACTTGGAAAGTTGTGTTTTTTATGAGCCTTTCTAAAACCAAAAGCACAATGTAACCATCAGGTCCTCCTTGAGGACAACATACATCCTCCATCCATTTAGAGGATTCTTCTGTAGACCAGATTCGGCGAACAATCCACTAGACCAGAGGTCTTCAACAGGGGGTCCGCGGAGGTACTGCAGGGGGTCCGCAAATTTTTTGGTTGATTAGACAATTAAAAGAAAGAAGAAAAAAAATTGTTTTTCTCTAAACATGAATCTGTCCATTATTTTAATATTTCAGTATTGTATGCAAGATAACAGGTATGTTTATGCATGGCAGTGGCACTAATAGGCCATCACTCATTTTTCGTTTTCCACATTTATGTTTAAAATGAAAACGTCTATTTGAATAGCTTGTGTGCATGATTATCATGCAATTGACAGACAATGTTGATATTGGCATTGATATCTGCTGACAAGGTATGTTTATAAATGGCAGTACTACGGCCTCCCTACTCACTGTACCTTGCACATGTTTAAAATAAAAACATGGATATATGAACCTGTGTATTATTTGAATAGCTTAGTATTGAATGCACAATAAAGAGGTATACACGGTACTCGGCCCATTTGATATAAAACACATTTTTATACAATATATACAGTTGTGTGAAAAAGTGTTTGCCCCCTTCCTGATTTCTTATTTTTTTGCATGGTTGTCACACTTAAATGTTTCAGATCATCAAACAAATTTAAATATTAGACAAAGATAACACAAGTAAACACAAAATGCAGTTTTTAAATGAAGGTTTTTATTATTAAGGGGAAAAAAAATCCAAACCTACATGGCCCTGTGTGAAAAAGTGATTGCCCCCCCCCCCTGTTAAAACATAAATTAACTGTGGTTTATCACATCTTTGGAAAGCTGAGTCTCCGGTCCTGTTCGTGACTTTCATGGACAGGATATCTAGGCGCAGCCTGGGGGTGGAGAACGTCAGGTTCGGGGGTCTCGGGATCGCCTCTCTGCTGTTTGCAGATGATGTGGTCCTGTTAGCCTCCTCGGATCGTGACCTCCAGCATTCACTGGGGCGGTTTGCAGCCGAGTGTGAAGCGGCGGGGATGAGAGTTAGCACCTCCAAATCTGAGGCCATGGTGCTCTGCCGGAAACCGGTGGATTGCTCCCTCCAGGTGGGGACGGAGTGCCTACCTCAAGCGAAGGAGTTCAAGTATCTCGGGGTCTTGTTCACGAGCGAGGGTAAGATGGAGCGGGAGATCGACAGACGGATCGGTGCGGCTGCAGCAGTAAAGCAGGCGCTGCACCGGACCGTCTTGGTGAGGAGGGAGCTGAGCCGGAAGGCAAAGCTCTCAATTTACCACTCGGTCTACGTTCCTACCCTCACCTATGGTCACGAACTCTGGGTCGTGACCGAAAGGACAAGGTCGCGGCTACAAGCGGCCGAAATGAGTCATCAGGAGGGAGCTTGAAGTCGAGCCGCTACTCCTTCGCGTTGAAAGGAGTCAGCTGAGGTGGTTCGGGCATCTAATTAGGATGCCTCCTGGACGCCTCCCACTGGAGGTTTACCAGGTACGTCAAACTGGGAAGAGACCCCGGGGAAGACCCAGAACGCGCTGGAGGGATTACATCTCCCAGCTGGCCTGGGAACGCCTCGGGATCCCCCAGAATGAGCTGGAACATGTTGCCGGTGAGAGGGAAGTCTGGGTCAGCATGCTTGGCCTGTTGCCACCACGACCTGACCCCGGATAAGCTGAGGAAAATGGATGGATGGATGGAAAGCTGAGTTCAATTTCTCTAGCCACACCCAGGCCTGATTCCTGCCACACCTGTTCTCAATCAAGAAATCACTTAAATAGGACCTGCCTGACAAAGTGAGGTAGACCAAAAGATCCTCAAATGCTAGACATCATGCTGCGATCCAAAGAAATTCAGGAACAAATGAGAAACAAAGTAATTGAGATCTATCAGTCTGGAAAAGGTTACAAAGCCATTTCTAAAGGTTTGGGACTCCAGCGAACCACAGTGAGAGCCATTATCCACAAATGGCGAAAACATGGAACAGTG